AAAAAGACTGGAATGATATGGAGACTATTAGCATGGCCCCTGCACAAGGATGGCACACACAAATTGAGAAAACGACAAAAAAAGCAAAAAAGACTTAGAAAAGAAAAAGAGGCTATAGGTTACTGGCATGGACGTCAGGGAGGGCCTGGGTTGTCTGGACCTGCATCCTTTTTTAATCCAGCTTTTCTTGAATTTCTTCGCCTTTCTTTTTCTTTCTTTTTTTTCCTTTTTTTTTTTTGGTTTAACAACACAGCCCGCTTTATATTCTGCGAGGGCACCAGTCCGGTTGCTTATTCCTGGCAAGCAGAAACGAAGTATTGAGTACAGCAGGTGACCAGAAGGTATCAAAAACCGCTTGACAGGCAGTGGGAGACACCTGCCTGCTTTCAACAACCGGACTGCCTGCAATCAATGACTTCTACTGCAGAGCAAAAAGTAAAAACCTTATAAATTTGAAAGAGAGAAACTACCTATTTCAGAAATTGAAAAACTACCTATTTCAGAAATTCAAATAAATCCAGAACCAGCAAGCTCAGAAATGCCAAACTGTGCTCTTTTTTCTGTTTTCTCTCTTTCGCTGTTTTCTTGCCCTTCTTCTTTTCTTTTTTCAAGTTCCCCCCCCCCTTTTTGTCTTCTTCGCATCTTGGATGAATGCTTGTTCCAGAAAGGGCAACAAGTTATACACATACAAAGCATGCATTGCCTTCCAACTTCCAACTTCCAACTCACTCTTCACTTGAGGACCCAACTTAGACAAAAGACAGCACTATCAACCAGCTCAAGGAACATCAAAACAACATCAACAGTTAGCTGAACTTAGCTCTCTCCCGCCCTCTTCAGAGAGTCAAACTCAAAAACAGGAGGGAATATGAAGTGTGAATTCACACACACACACACACACACACACACACACACACACACACACACTATTGAAGGGCCGGCAGAACTCATTGCCATTGGCACAATCATTTCATGTGAACTCTTTTCACAAAGTGATCCTCTTCATCTCACAAACAGTCAAAGCAAGAAACCCCACATTCGATCACGGATTCTGGGAACACAACTGCCAATGGACTTCCCTTCCAGGATGAACTGCTTATAATACACCATCTGGGTCCATGTTGTGCAGAGAGATGTTACAGCCATTTACCCCAATAAAGGTCAAGGGCTCAGGCATGAGTATTGCTAGACCATAATTCGCACGGAGGGGGTTCAGGACAGCACTCTAATATGCTGAACGCAAACATTGCTGAAAAACGAAGGCATTCGTCATATGCGATATTAAGATTGACAACAACACGAAATCGAAAACAAGCGTCGGACAAACATCGAATTGACAATGCTGCGTTTCAGTTGAAAAAGGCGCACGGGTGTGACTATTGCCCTAGGTATGAGTCTTTGAGTGAACTTTACCGTCAAGCACACATTGTTACCCATGAGCTCCTTGCACATCTGTAGCTGAATGTGGCACAGTTCCATGAACTCCTCTGTTGGGCCCGCGAAGATCCCGTTGGGAGGGCCATCTCCCACAGCACGGATCCTCACACCGGTTGAGGATGTTGCCGCCACTGCAGCAGCCACCGCCAGAGCAGCGCTCGAGAAGCCGACGACAGTGGCCCTACCATCACCGGCAAACATGTTGCTGTCACTGTCAGACGGGCCACCATTTGGAGGGCTCACCACGTGGCAGGTGTTCACTTGCAGCACGGGGCATGTCGACAAGATTGCAGCTTTGACCTTCGTGCTCCCTCCCTTTTCAATGTCAAGCTCACCGATGGTGTTAATCGCCGGGCACGGCACCGGTGTAGAGGAATGAATAGCTTCGGGCATCAGACACGAGACACGTGTTGGAGTGTGATGCGGGCGTGAGTGGCGCTGGGAGGTGAAAGGGAGCCAAACTTTCGTCAGCGAGTACAGGGACATGTTGGTGTGGCAAGGAGGGAGACGGTGACTCCACCGGTCAGCGGAGATAGCACGGTGGAAGCAAGAGTGCAGGTCGGGTGTGTGTCTGCCCACGCAACTGGCAGTGGAACATATCTGCCTCTTACCGGCAGAGATTGCTGTACATTGTTGCATCAGATTCTGCGACTGAGGCTTCGTCGTCAGCGCCCTGAGTTCACATACATGCCGGCAGCAGCAGTCAATCTCGAGAGGCACGGTCAGAGGGTTGGCCATCATCGATATCGGAGTTATGATGACCTCTGAAGATAGAGATGACAGGTGGCACGTTCACATACATCTGAAGCATGCAGACAAGAGCCTTCGGCAACTTCAACAACAGCTATTGTTTTCCAGGCCTCTGCTCTCTCTGCTCTGTCTTTTCTTGCCTTGCCTTGCCTTGGGTATAGCTATTGCCTTTCGCCTTGGGTATAGCTATTGACTTTTGCCTTGGGTATAGCTATTGCCTTTTGCCTTCGGTATAGCTATTGCCTTTTGCATTGGGTATAGCAGCTACAGGTATTTTCATTGTTTCACCAGGAAAAATCAGGCAAGCTGCTATTCTCCCTTGCCTGACCTTGCGTTGCCAATTTGCTGCACAAAGAATCAAGAGAAGACAAGCCAGAGGTAAGAAGACATGTGGGCTTCTGCCCTTTGGGATACAACGATACAGACAAGGTTAGCACGGTCGCTGCGCATCCAAGGATGACATGCACAAATGGAGAAAATAGGTTAAGTTGAAAAAGGGAAAGAAAAAAAAAAAAAAAGGAAAGAAAAAATACAAAGAACACAACTTTGCTTTCCTATGCTTTCAACAGAAGCACGACAGTCCCGAGGGAAGCTCTGCAATCAATCTGCCCATGTTTGTGGCCAGCTACTTCCAAGAAAAGTCGAATTTTGAGTACACCCTTCTTAGGGCCTCGCCACACGGCACACGAAACGAAAACGAAACGAGTGCATCTGCCCACGAAAGGCGGCAAAATACACTCATTACTATTTATAGCAAACCGATGAACCTGGCCATTTTCTGTGGAAAAATTCACTCGTTTCGGTTTTCGTTTCGTGTGGCGACGCTCTTAGTTTGGACTCTGCAGAGAGCTACCAGCGTACCTTACGGCTCTGTCTGGAGTCCAAGAAGAGTCCATGGCTCCACTCCACTAAGCGCAACTCCAATACAGAAAACAACAGTTTGCAGTTGGCAGGAAAACCACCAACGGCTTTCCAATAGGAGTTACCAACTTTCTTCACCTTCCGGCACTGGGCAGGCGTCAGCCCCCATACGTAGTCTTACGACTTTGCGGAGACAAACCAACAACCACCACCATAACGACGATGATGACAACCACCAGGAGGAGGAGGAGGAGGAAAAGAGAGAGGGTGAGGGAGGAGGGAGGAGGAGGAAAGAGGGAGGGAAGAGAGAGTCAGGGACAAACAGGGAGGGAGGGAGGAAGGGACAGGCAGACGAGTAGGAGCAAGAGGAAGGAGGCGAGGAAGGACGAGAGAGGGAGGAGGAGAAGGAGGAGGAAAGACGAAGGGAGACAGGGAGAAAGGGAGAGAGGGAGAGCGCATATATATATATCGTCATAGATAAACAAGGAAAGGAAAAGAAGGAAGGAAGGAAAGCCCCACCTGTTCATCACCTCTTACGTACAAGGCCAGCCACGTGGATGACAGGTTGATCGCTGGCTGCCCCCATCCCCGTGTGTCACAAGGACCCACTTGCACGCAGCCAAAAGGCAAAGAGGTAAAGAAAAGGAGGAGGAAACCAAACCTGACAGGGAAAGAAAGATAATCCGATTGTCACAAAGCAAATAACTCATCCCACAGATCAACATATTTTTTCTTTTTTCTTTTTTTCTTTTTTTCTTTTTTTCTTATTTCCTCTTTTTTTTTTTTTTTT